GGGGTGCCCTTGACCCTGGCCCTATCATTGAACCGAGTGCGGACCGCAGCCCAGTTGACGCCCAGTCGAAGCGAATCGTCCATCTTCATGGCATCACAATCGTCACTGTTCCACTCTTTGAGGAAGCGCAAACATGAGTCGGGCTCCTGCATCGTGGAGTCGGCACAGATGTGGCCAGACTTGGTGGGGTTCCTGGTCGTCCACTGGTGCCATATCCCATTGAAGTGCTCTCCAAGGTCCCTCTGGGGCCGCTTCGAGGTCTCGGCCGGAATCTCACCAGGGGGATTGGTGAGATCGATCCGCTCCAGTGGAGCCATGTAGATGTAGAGGCCAGTGGGTCAGGTCTTGTGCAAGGTCGGCTTGTGCACGCTCGTAGGAGGGCCAGGGGCCAGACCGAAGTGCGGGGAGGTCATCGGGGACGGCGTGTGTGTGGGTACGCGCAGACCGGCTCCAGCGGTCGCCAGCCTCCCAGCTGGACCACCCTGTCCATGCTGGACAGTTGCCGCTGTAGGGGCCGCTGCGGCTGGCCTCGCGATGCCGACGTGGGCGGCGCTCACCCCAGCCCTCGCCCCAGTCGCACTCATCCCGCGCCGCATTGGCCGCCCGGGGCTGCCGGGGGATGCTTGGGGATGGCGGGGCCCTGAGCTCAGGAAGGCGCGCGAGGTTTCTGTCGTCTTGCCCTGCCAGCGCCGGGGAGGCGCAAGGGCCGTCAGCATGGGGCGCGGGGCTGCAGGGCCTGTCCGTCGCCTCGGGGCTGCCGGAGGAGTCGACCTGCAGCGCCGGCGGTTCCGAGCTGGGGGTCGGGGACAGGGCGACGGGTGCCCCTTGGCGGCCCAGGGGGGGGGCGGGTTTGTCGCCTTGAGAGCCAGCCGGCGAGGTGTCGGAGGCGGCGTCTCCGTGGGTGGCGGCGTCGTCGCCCCCGCTGGCAAGGGGGGGGCCTATTGCGTTGGCCTCGCGCGGGGGGGGGGGTGCTCGGGACTGTTGCACCGGTGTCTGGTTCGTCAGCGGTTGGGCTCGCCCGCCGTGAGAGGCTGCCCGCAGGGGGGCGGGAGCTGGCTCCATGGGTGAAGGGGGGGCTGGTCCCACTCCGCGTCGGCGTCGAGGGGGGGGGGGGGGCGCGGTGTTGCCCCAATCGGGAAGCTCGGGCGCGCGAGCAGCACAGGTGTGAAACTCTGCTGGTGGGTCAGCCTTCTCTATCCGCTCATCGTTGAGCTGCTTCCACCAGTCGTTGTCGCTGTGTCCCCTGGTAGGGGTGTTGTCGACCTGCCTGCGTAGCTCCTGCGCGTGCATCAAAGGGGCATCCATGGCCAGTTCGCGGAATGACCCGGAGGCGAGCTTGTCGGGGCCGACCTGTGTCAAGAACCCCGCGAGGGCGCCCGGTGTGTGGCGGAGTGGGGAAGGGCCGCGCACGGACCATTGATTGGCGTGCAGAAGCCATTCGGGTCGCATTGTGATGTCAGTCGAGTGAGCGCAAAAGTGTGCGACCACGCGGGCGGCGGCGAGTCGCCCCCCTTGCCAGTGGAACTCGATGGGGAGATGATTTGGCGCAGCTCTGTCGCCGTATACCCTCTCCAGGAAGGGGCGCAACAGAGGCGGGTCCCAGCTATCAGGGGCCTCGGAGCCCTTGGCGTTTCTGCCCTGCTCATCGGTGCAATCCCTCCACTGGTCGTCCAAGGTTAGGTCCTGGTCGCGTAAGGAATCGACCGGCCTGACCGCGATGGGCCTAGCGTTCAGGCGGTTCCGCTCGACCTCTGCGGCGGCCCCCAGGCGATCGATGACAATGCGCGACGGCGCGGGGCCCTTGGGGGGGTCCACGTGTCGAAGGTGGTTGCGTATCTTCCCGGCCCCGCGCATTGTGGGGCGTCTCCCGTGCCGGTCTGGGGCGAAGAGGCCAAGGGCACCACCGTTCTTGCTGAACGGGGCGGGTTTGGTGGCAGAGGCGCGGTCGGGTGCGAGCTCGATGGGCAGCGACGGCTCGCAAGCACCAGAGGTGCGGCGCGCGGTCTCAGCAAGGATAGATTCAGTGAGTGTCACGATCGAAGATACCATCAACGACGCTGTGCATGACGTCCCATGCGTGGACGAGGCTTCGGCGACTTATCCACGCGGCCTTCCAGCTGCGGTTGTTCCAGGCGACGGCGCGGTCCTCCCGCGCAGGGAGGCCATCCGCGCTTGCCGCGACTCCACGTCAGCCTCCCGAACATAACAGCCCAGCGCTGGCGCGCCTGCCTGCCCGGAAAGAGGATGGGTCCCAGGCGGGCACCCGTCGCACGTGGCGGTGTGGCGATTGGATTCAGCTGCTGAATGCCCAAATCTGTCGTCCTCTAGCCGTGTGGGCGGTAGGGTGGTGTTGGCGTTCTTTGGGGCATGAAGGTCTGAGGGCTCCAGCAGGTAGTCCTCAAGGGCGCCAGGGCCCGCAGCGGGGGGCAGCGCCGAATGCGTGTGCTGGGAAGCGGTCAGGGGTAAGGTGTCCACAGGAGGGGGCCTGCGGGGGGTCCTGACGAGTGAGAGGGCCTGCGCCTGCTCGTGGAGGGGGTCATCCCGGGACACTTGGTAGCCCTGCTTCTCGACCACGTGCGTCCAGCATTGGCCGCGCAGCCATGCGCAGCCTAACCAATTGGCAGGCGCCTGCAAGCGATTCTGGGCAAGATACGAGCGCACATTGGGATATTGTCGTCGAGCCAAGTGCCCACCGTGTGTTTGAGGTTGGCCTTGTAGCAGCGGTCGCACTTGTACCTGGCCGTCTTCCGATCGGCGCTGAAGCGGGTTTCACCAGAGGCCAGGTAGCACGGGGTCTTGGTCACGCTGGGGAGTGGGGCGGGCGGCAGCGCCCTGTCCAGGGGGATGAGCCCGAACGAGAAGCCCCCGCTGAGGAAGGACAGTTCTGAGGGGCCGGCGTCAGGTCCTAAGCCGTTGTCGCTGCCTGTGAGGTCCCGGTGTAAGAGGCAAATGCTGCATTCCGACCGCGAGAGGATACCAATTTTGGCAGGCTTCACGATCTTTTCCAAGACCAGCATTGGGGACAGTAGCTTGACTGGGGACTTCTCCATCTCGGTGTAGGTCGTGGGGCAGTGGGCCTCCTTAGCGGTGGGGTGGTGGTGGGCGGTGGCCACGGTTTTGCCCACAAAGGCGATCAGGCCCTCCAGCCGGCCGTGCAAACGACGGAGGTCCGTGAGCGAGAGCCCCCAGGAGGCCGCGCACTTGGAGCGGAAGTGGTGGTGGCCGTTTTGCCAGGGGCAGCAGACACCCAGGACGGCCTCAAGCGTGTCTCCAGACCAGGCGGGGTCAGGGAAGGGCCAAAGGTGAGCCCGCGGCTCGCGCTTCATGAGCAGCATGATGATGAGGGCGCAGCGGGACCTCTTGGTGGACATAATGCGGTCGTTGGGGTCGAGCAGGTCGATTCGGTGCTATGAAGTTCCCTCGTGGCCCTGCAAAACATAGCCAGCCAACAACTATTCAAAACTAGTCCAAACATAATCGACCAATCGCCCCCAGACTAGATTGTACTATGTTGAATACTCCCCCTGTAGAGGGACACGCCCGACCTAAGGCTTGACGCAGAGGGACTGAGCATGACGCTCTGACGGCGGAAGGCGGGCGGTCTTGCGTAGTAGAGGAGGAGGAGGAGAAGGAGGAGGAGGAGGAGGAGGAGGAGGAGGGGGATGGGGATGGGGATGGGGATGGGGATGGGGATGATGATGATGATGATGATGATGATGATGATGATGATGATGATGATGAGGAGGAGGAGGAGGAGGAGGAGGAGGAGGAGGAGGAGGAGGAGGAGGAGGAGGAGGAGAAGAGAAGGACTGCGTAGAGTCGGGGCCGACCGCGGAGGACGCCCGCGAGGGCACCGATCCCTCCCGAGGGCAACCCGTGCTGCAGGCACGGAGAAGGGGGTACGAGGCGCGAGGAGCAAGGGCACGGGGTCGACCCCCTTCGTACCCATCGGTCGGAAGAAGTAGGTAGAAACATGCAGTAGGAATGGCGATGAAATATATTGGGTTCGGGCCCGCCCAGGCAGTAACACCACGCAGGAAGGCGCTTGAATTATATTGGCTTCTGGGAATCCAGAGATACCGACTTTCAACGGCCGATGGGCAACCAGTGCAAACCCGTGAAGGGGGACAAGAAGAACCACCTCTGCTCTCGAGAAGCGGGCGCCCCAGAGGCAGCGTCACCTGAGAAGCCTACCCCTGGTAGAATACACAACCATACCCTTCCCCCAGTGCAGTTGGCCAACATTAGCGGCGCGCACAAGGGGGTAGGGGCAGGGGGAGGGCTTCTTAGAAGGAGGCTGTTTCTTAGAAGGCGCCAGCCTTACATCTACAGATAAGGTCCGTGCCTGCTAAGAAGCAGGGGTGCTTCTAAGAAGCCCTCCCCCCTCCTCCCACCCCTCTCTGCGCGTGGCTGACAACAAGGGGTCTCTGTAAATTGCCCAAGTCAACCCTCCCCGAAAAGCCTCTGGCCTAGGGTGGGTCAGTTAACAAATGGGGCGGCCAGTCGATTCGGGCGCGAGCTTGCTTGCCAGGTAGGCGTCGTAAGATAGATGGAATATTCCTTTCTGAAGCTGACCGCGGTAAACAATTCCCTGGAACTGTTTGTCTGGCGGGGGTACCACGAGGTTCGACAACCATCCCAACTGGGAGGAGGAGGAGGAGGAGGAGGAGGAGGAGGAGGAGGAGGAGGAGGAGGAGGAGGAGATGATCAGGAGGAGGAGAGAGGTGGAGGAGGAGGAGGAGGAGGAGGAGGAGGAGGAGGAGAGGAGGAGGAGAAAGAGGAGGAGGAGAGGAGGAGAAGAGGAGGAGGAGGAGGAGGAGAATGAGAATGAGGAGGAGGAGGAGGAGGATGAGGAGGAGGATGGAGGTTGGGGGACGTACATCCAGTCATCCCCCTAGTTCAGACCCAGTTGCGCGAGGAACACAGCAGGGCGGAGAGGGGGCACGAGGCAGAAGGCAGGCCGGAGGAAGCTGGCCCGTCGGCGCCCCCGAGGCCCCGGCGGGAAGCTCAGGTCGCAGTCCCCGATGTTGAGCTGGGGGCGGGTGCCGCTTTCGGAGGGCCCGGGGAGGTGCCGCACCTCCTCGGGAAGACCACCCCTGAGCGTCTGGGGACCTCGACGGTCCTCCTCTCGTGAGTGTTTTTTCTTATTCGGCGATTCGACACTTGGCGAAAAGGGGGGTCTGGCTCCAGACAGACCTCTGCTCAGTGCGACTGTTTGCAAGAGTGCTGCCTCTGGGGGAGACTCCACCCGCTCGAAACAGGCGCCAAAAAACAGCCAAGATCTACTCCATGGAGGGGGAGGGGGGGGGAGGGGGCCCGCGCTGATCGGCAACACAGTATACAAAAAACGATCACCTCCCTCGTGCTCCAAGACGCAGCCAGGACGAGGATACATTCGGGTGAGGATCAAGCGAGGCGCCGCGGCCTTCTCAGAGCGTTCAAGAACGCTTTGAGAGCGTTCTGGAATGCTCTGGATCAGATTTATCCTCGTCCCAGCCCCGCCCGATGCTCCACGTTTGTGTATCTGTGTGTGTGTGTGTGTGTGTGTGTGTGTGTCTGTGTGTCTGTGTGTCTGTGTGTCTGTGTGTCTGTGTGTGTGCGCGTGCGTGTTTGTATGTGTGGAGCACAAGCACCCGTTTTGCAGCGGTCGGGCTTCGCACTGCACTAAGTTAATGGTAATGGCGCTCCTCCGTCGGGCACGCGCATCGCCAGGATCTGGCGCGTGGGCGCCAAATCCACGGATCGGTGAAAGTACCTCCCGCGACACGAGGCCGGCGCCGCCCCCTCTGGCGACGGGGCGCGCCGAATGTGCTTCGGAGGCGGGCCCTGTCGTGCATCGACGCGCCTTGGTCCATGCGTGCGCTTCTTCGACCCCTGCTGTGTCTTCCTCCTTGCCCTGGTCCCCCTGCAATCCTCCTCCGATGACGACCACTCCCCGACCTTGAGCTGGGGGGGCGGGCGCCGCCGCAGGAGGGCCGGGGGGGGTAGGCCCTTCCAGAGGGCAGAGGGGAGATCGAGGCCTCAGACTCTGGGGCTAGAAGTGGAACACAGCACAAGCAGACGTGCTCAGATCGGAAAGAGCGTGTTCTACCGCTGCTGGCGGAAAACCGGCGGGGGGTCACTGCCGGTTCGAACCCCCCGCTCCCCCCCCCCTTCGGAAAACCGAGGGGGGGTCACTACCGGTTCGAACCCCAATCCATTATGAAAAGGGGGGGGGTCACTACCAGTGTACAATGGTGGGAACAGTGGGACAGTGGTGGGGACGGTGTGGTGGGGACAGTGGTGTAGGGACAGTGGGAATGTGGTGGAAACAGTGGGACAGTGGAGGGTACAGTGGTGGTGGGGACAGTGGTGAAGGCGGTGGCGAGGACGGCGGTGGGACAATGGGACAGCGGTACAGTGGGGACAGTGGTGGGGACAGTGGGGACAGTGGTGGGAACAGTGGGACAGCTCAGTGGGACAGCGGAGGAGTCAGTGGGACAGTGGGGACAGTGAGGATAGTCGGGCAGTGGTTGGGGCCGTGGAGAAAGTGGGGAGAGTGGAACCGTGGTGGGAACAGTGGTGGGGACAGTGGGGACAGTGCGACAGTGGTGGGGGCACTGGTGGGGACAGTAGGGACGGTGGTGGAACCAGTGGGGACAGTGGTGGTGAGGACAGTGGTGCTGGGAACAACAGTGGGGGATGTGGTGCGGACGGTGGTAGGGACCGGGAGTCGTTTGCTGGCGGTGAGGGGGGGGGGGGGTTCGAACAGGTAGTGACCCCCCTCCGGTTTTCGAGGGGGGGGGGGGGTTCGAACCGGTAGTGACCCCCCAGTTTTTCGAGGGGGGTGGGGGGGGGGAGGGGGGGGGTTAGGGGAGGGGGGAAGGGGGGTTGCCGGGGGAGGGGATGGGGGGGGGGGAGGTCCAGCAGGAGGGGGGGGATTTTCGGAGGGGGGGGGGGGACCCCCGGGTTCCGGAGGAAGAGGGGGGGGGAATTTTCCATAGTAAAGCGGCGGTGGATCACGCTCTCTCTCAGATCGGGTGCGCGCAAAAATGGATCAGCGATCCATGGATTTGGCGCGCGGTCGCCGAATCTATGGATCCGGGGAGGGTGCCCTCCCCAAAATGCGGCCGGTGCCGCCTTGATCGGCGGCGGAAATCCGCGATTCCCCATGGAAACGGGACCCGTCGCTGATCCACGCCCCCTTGATCCATGCTTGCGATCGCCTAATCAAAGGTCCGCCCGCGAATTTCTGGCGTCGGCGCTGGACGCCTCCCCCATGGAGGCGCCTCCGGCGCCGCCCCCGGTGCGCTTCGGGGTGTCCACGGCCAGCGCACGAAATCCGCGCAGGCCTCCGAGAGCTCGTGTGTATTGGAGGCCTCCTGGATGGGGTCGGAGTAGATGCGGTCGGATGACCGCGCCGCATCGCCGATACATCGGCGATGCATCGGCGATGCACCGGCGGCGATGCATCGTCGACGTGGGCGATGCATCGGCGACGTCGACTTGAAGCAAATCGGGCTCCGCATCGAGCCGCATCGGCGATGCATCGCCGATGCGGCGCGATCCTCCGACACCATCTACTCGGACCTCATCTAGGAAGCCTAGACGTATGCCGCTTTCTTCTTCGATGGAGGTGGCTTGGCCCTCTTCCAGCCTCCACGTCGCCTAATTATCAACTTCGCGCTTCGCGCTCCGCGGACACCTTCGCGCCTTAACTGCTGCACCACGAGCCCCTTGGCACACACCCTGCCGCACTGGACGCCAGGGGGGCACAGGAGGGCCCCAGGGAGGTCCCCAGAGAGCCCGAAGAGAGCCCACGGCTCATCACAAACTTAACAACCCCGTGCCCCGCTCCCAACGCGGATACCTCGTCCTCGCCCCGTCCTCTTGCTCCTCCTCCTCCTCCTCCTCCTCCTCCTCCTCCTCCTCCTCCTCCTCCTGCTCGCTCGCTAGCTCGCTCGCCGGCTCCTCCTCCTGGCTCCGCTTTCCTCCTCCTCCTCCTCCCCCTCCCCCTCCTCTCCTCCTCCTCCTCCTCCTCCTCCTCCTCCTCCTCCTCCTCCTCCTCTTCTCCCTCCTCCCTCGTTTCTCATTCCTCCTTCTCCAAGGAGGAAGATGGGCCCCCCATGACAGCCTGCCATCGCACCAAGGTGTCCAGCAGCTGCCTGTTCTTTTCGAATTCGAAGAACTCGTCGTCGAACATGCGCACGGACCCCAGTACGCAGATTTTGCCCATGTGCGGCTTGCGAAGGGGGCGGTGGTGGTTGTGGATGGCGGATAGAGAGAGGGAGGAGGAGGAGGAGGAGGAGGAGGAGGAGGAGGAGGAGGAGGAGGAGGAGGAGGAGGAGGAGGAGGAGGAGGAGGAGGAGGAGGAGGAGGAGGAAAAAGAGGATTATGATGATGATGCTGATGATGATCCTCGCGTCTACAGAGGTCAGGAGCTCCTAGTTCGTACTGCCCCTCGGACCGACGCGTTTCCCCCTGGCCCTGCGGCGGCAACGCTCGGTTTCGTGCGCCTCAGCGCACCCTCGCAGATTCACCTGCGTGCCAAGAGGCCGCCCACCGCCCCAGCCGAAACAACCGGTAGTACGGCGACCGAGAAGTCACGGCGAATCAGCCCGCTACAGCAGCACACGCGCGCCAAAGCAGAGCAACACAATCCCCATGGCACCTGGCCGCCTGCTGGACAACCTTGCTCTGCGATGGCGTTCGGAGGCGATCCAGAGAGTCGGTAGCAAGCCACCTACCCCCTTGATTCGGCCTCCGCCCGGCGCGAAAACAGTGCACAAGACAGGCGGGCTGGTACCCAGCAGAGCTGCAGAACGCAAGCGCCACTTGACGTGCCAAGCGGCACGGACAGAGCAGCGCAGCGAGCCCAGGAAGGGCAGGAGTGAATGAACCCTGACGTATGCCGAGCCCCGAGGGGTACGGCCTACGCCACGGGGTCCATCTCCCCTCGGAGCTCGCAGGCTCGTCGCAGGCATTCGTGATCCTCGGACCCGCCTGGCGCCGCGAGCACACGGCACCGCGCTCGGCAGACCGATGGGCCCCGAGCCGCAAGGTGCCACTACATTAAGGCAGATGCCGCGCGAGCGCGGCAGAAGAAATGTGAGACAGTTGTCGGGGCAGATCGTGCCCGTCAGCGCCTGCCGCACGCCTCGCGGGCTGCGCGCAACCTGGCGCCCAAGGCGGCGCGAACCCCAGCCATCAGCCCGTTGTATCTGGCCCGCAGCGCCACGAGCTCCGCCCGCTCCGAAGGGAACTGCTGCTGCTCCTCGGGCTGCTCGGAGTCGCGCTGCTGGTTGACGTCGGACTGCTGCTCGGAGACCGCCTGGGTGTCCACGCGCACGGCGTCTCGGCGAAAGCGGGCTCCGATGCAGCCTTGTTCTGGGCCTCCGACTCCTGCTCCTGAACCGATGGGAGCCCGCCCACGTGCACTCCTCCTCGAAGTGCACCTCCCTCGTGGGGCCCGCTGAGCCGATCCCGGCATTCTCCTAGGGGTCCTGCTGTGCAGCACCAGGCTGCATGCGCCCGTCGTGCTGAACAGCGTACTCCGACGGGTCGCTGCCGAGAGGCTTTTCATCTGCAGCCTCATCCTAATCGGCCGAATCCCTCTCGCGCTCCACCCCCTTCGCCGCCGTGGTCGGCGGGCAGGCGCTGGGTGTCTTCGGGCCGCCATCCCGCCTGAGCTCCTCGAGCCTCCGCTGCCACCGCTGCGCGCCAGAAGTGAGGGGTGGAGGAACCGCCTCAGGCGCCGACCGCACACGATCCGCCAGGCCGAAGGCAGTGCCGTGGGTCGCGGCCCTCCGCCGCCTCGCAGCCGTTCCCCATGCTGCGCGCGTGGCGGGCTCGGCTGCCTCCGTCGCCTTGAGTGCCCGTGTGCTCGCCGGTACGGCGGCCGACGCCGTCGGTCCTTCCCGCGTGGGCCGACGGCCGCGCCTCTGCCGCCGCCTGACCGACGCTGGTTTGGCGGGGCTCGGCGCCGCGCCAGCGCCAGCGCCCAGGTTCGCGTCCGTGCACTCCTCGTGCTCGCCCTCGCCCTGCACATCGCTCGGCTCGTCGTGCTAGGTGCCAAGGGGCGCCTGCACCTCGCCCGAGCCGAGACCGTCCTCGCCCGTGCAGGCGTCGCCGAGGGTGTCGTCGTCGACGGGCCTGGAATCATCGTCCTGCGCTCCGTCGCCAGCGCACTCGCCGAGCTCGGGTTTGGACCCGAACCTGACCTCATCGGGCCCGCGATGGCTGTCGTAGCCCTCGAGCTCGTCGTCGCCGACGCCGTACTTGATCTCGTACTGGTTGTGCAGCTGCACGTGCTGCTGCTCGTCAACGTGCTGCTTGTGCGCGTCATCGTCGTTCTTCGCATCGCCGTTGTAGTCGCACTCGTCTGTGGGCGGCGCCATGCTGCGGCGCCTCGCCTCCAGGCTGGGTCGCCATCCCGCCTCAGGGGAAGGACGGCTGAGAGCCCCAAGATCCGTTGGGGCGAGGGCGCCAGACCGCCCACGGCGCTGGCTGAACGGCTGCTCGAGCGCGGCCTCGGGGACCTCGGCGACTTCACAGAGGAAGGCGTAGGCCCCGAGGTTCCGAGTCGCCCGCTCGGCGCCCGAAGCCCTCTCGCCGCGGATCAGGCGCGCCAGGGCTGGCCTGATGCCTCGGCGTCCTCCTCATCGCCAGCTCCATCTGCAACCCAGCCCCCCATCAGCTCAGCACCGACGCGCGCCGCGGCGGCCGCGGCGGCCGCGATGCCGTGCCTCGCAGCGCCCCCCGCTGCCGCGCCTTCGGCTGCCGCTCGAACCAGCGGCGCCAAGGCGGCAGCAGCGTCCAACGCCGCGACTGGCATGAATGCCCGAACAGCGCGGGGCTCGAACGGGCCAACTGAGGAGGAAATAGCCCGAACAGCGCGAAGCTCGAACGGGGAAACCGCTGCCACACCGGCGTGACTCCTTGAGCCAAAATGGCTAGGAATGATGCTGCTACTGCTGATGATGACGATGAGGATGAGGATGAGGATGAGGATGATGATGATGATGATGATGATGATGATGATGCTGATGATGCTGATGATGATGATGATGATGATGATGATGCTGATGATGATGATGATGATGATGATGATGCTGATGCTGATGCTGATGCTGATGCTGATGCTGATGCTGATGATGCTGATGCTGATGCTGATGATGATGAGGAGGAGGAAGACGAGAAGGAGGAAGCGGACGGATGAGGAGGAAACGGGACGAATGGGAGGAATTGGGAGGAAGCGGCACAGAGCGCGCGAATCCTGCTGTCAGCCGCGGGGCCGCCAGGCCTCGGCGCTGCCTACGAGCGTCCAACCTCCGAGGAGCTTCGCTCTCACGGCGCCGTTCGCGCTGGGAGGCCCGCGAGCGCTGTCGCGCGCGGCACGCAGGGGGGACAAGGAGGGGAAAGAGGCGAAGGAGGGAGGGCGTGATGAAAGAGAAGCCCTAGGAGGAGGAGGAGGAGGAGGAGGAGGAGGGGAGGAGGAGGAGGAGGAGCAGGAGGAGGAGGAGAAGGAGGAGGAGGAGCAGGAGGAGGAGGAGGAGGAGGAAGAGGAGAAGGAGCGATGGCTAGGCTAGCGCAGGCCCCTGTCACCTGAAGCCCCGCTGGCAAGTCGGTTCCAGCCGCGGCGACAAGGAGGCGATCCGAGGGGCCAACCCTTGCATCTGCTATGGCCAGCCGTGGGGACGACGCCCCGTCGGTTCCCCCGTGGTCCTTTTCAGCTGCTGCGCCTGTGATTGCCTGTCTCCCGGGCTCATGTCTGTAACAATTTTAACTTCGTCACTCCCGTGGCAGATTTGGGCCCGAAACGTGTTTAACAATTTTAACTCAGATTTTCGCCGCCGCGAAAAACCTATAAGATACTTTTATTATGAAATCACCCTGGTGATAAAATCAGGGTTCGTCCTATTGCCCTCCAGTGGCCTCCCGTGTGCGGCTTTCTGCCGCCACCGATCCCCCTGCCATCATTGGGTGGAGATCCACCTTGCAATGGAGCAGGTCCGCCTTGTCACCCCTTCGGTAACAATCCACTCTGCCGCAGAGCTGACCTCCCTGCCACTCTTAACGTGACGTACCGTCCTGCTCTCCTTGGGCGTTATGTTTCCCCCCTCCTTGGCTTGCTTCCCTTCTCAATTCCTCTGAGGCCTTGCGCCTATGCTCGCCCTATTGCTCTCCCGCCCACCCTCACTTGCTCGCCCATCCGCCCGTTTCTCGATTACCTCCCCCTTGAATGGGGCGGTGGCAGAGGGATGTGTGCGATACTCCCCAGATTGCGGCTTACATGCGCTACTGGGCCAGCCCCACCTTGTCCACATTGGGCGGGGAGACGTCCTGCAGCGGAGAAGGTCTCCAGGGTCGCCCAACGGTGACGATCCGTCCGTCTGTTGCACAGGGCACTCACAGCACCTGTAGGGTGGCGAGCCACCCAGCGGTGGAACAGGACAAGAGTTCTCACTGCACAGGGCGGCAGAGGGATGGACAAATCCTGCCCACCTTCAATGCAATGGAATATGTGCAGCGATTCCGCACTGCAAGTGGCGGTATCCGCCCCAAAAGGGTGGTAACTCCAGGCAACTGGGCCCACTAACGGGGTTAAGGTGCCCCTTAAGCCATATTACTTCAAGTCCTCCTCCTCCTCATCCTCCTCCTTCTCCTTCTCCTCCTCCTCCTCCTCCTCATCCTCCTCCTCCTGCACCTCCTCCTCCTCCTCCTCCTCCTCCTCCTCCTCCTCCTCCTCCTACTCCTCCCCCTCCTCCTCCTCCTCCTCCTCCTCCTCCTCCTCCTCCTCCTCCTCCTCCTCCTCCTCCTCCCCCTCCTCCTCCTCCTCCTCCCCTCCTCCTCCCCTCCTCCTCCCCTCCTACTCCTCCCTCTTCCTCCTCCTCCTCCTCCCTCCTCCTCCTCCTCCTCCTCCTCCTCCTCCTCCTCCTCCTCCTCCTCCTCCTCCTCCTCCTCCTCCCCCCTCTTCCCTCATGGGTGCTGGTCAACAATCTCTCCTCCTCTTCCTCCTCCGCCCTGGCGCTCCCTGGGCATCCGGTCGACGGGGGGAGGCGAGGGCGGGCGGACAGCAGAGGAAGCGAGGGAGCCAAGGTCGGAAAGGGGGGCAGAGGGCAGAGGATCGGCGGCGAGCGAGGGGGGGAACGAAGGATTGCAAAAAACCGAAGGATTGCAAAAACGAAGGTTTTTTGCAATCCTTGGCCTTTTGCAATCCTTCGTTCAAGAGAGGTCTGAGGTCCGAGGACATTCTCGTACGGCACTTCGGCCTCGGGGTGCGGCTCCAGCGACTGCCCCATCGGCGAGAGCGTTCTGGGGCCGCCGGCATCGTCCCGAGCGGCCGCTGGAGACCCGCGCTACGGCCCCGAACAAACAAGCTCGGCGGCGCACGGAGGGGGGAGGGAGGAGAGCGGAGGGCCAGAGGGAAGCGGTGCGAGCAGTCTGGGCTCGCCCCTCCTCCTCCTCCCTCCCCTCGCCGCCATTCCTCCCCCATCCCAGACGTAGGTTGAGGCATGAAGCAGGAAGGCGGCCAAAGCAGATTGGGCTTGGGCACACATGACAAAAGCAGATCGACTCTTGAAGTAGGCGTACTCTTGAAGTATATTGGGATCTAGGGGCCCAAACATTCGCCATCGCTCGGATGTCCCATTCCCGTGCATTTGTCGGCTTCGCGCGTGCATTTTTTGCAAGATGGCCCAACATGCTCCTTGACGGATCTCGCCGAGAAAAATGCACACGTCCGAGCGATGCCCAGAAAATGCATACTTTCAACGACTGACGTGCACCCTCCACCTACGCTGAAAGCCCCTCAGCCTCTGCAGCGCCGCTCCTCTTCCTCCTCCTCCTCCTCCTCCTCCTCCTCCTCCTCCTTCGCCTCCTCCTCCTTCGCCTCCTCCTCCTCCTCCTCCTTCGCCTCCTCCTCCGCCTCCTCCTCCTCCTCCGCCTCCTCCTCCTCCTGGTCCTCCTCCTCCTCCTCCTCCTCCTCCTCCTCCTCCTCCTCCTCCTCCTTCGTCTCCTCCTTCGCCTCCTCCTCCGCCGCCTCCTCCTCCTTTGCTCCTCCACCTCTGGAGGCCTCTGGAGGCCGCCGGAGCCAGGCCTCCGCCTCTGGCGGCCCCACGACGTCCAACAACCTCGATCCTCGAGCCTCCTCCTCCTCCTCCTCCTCCTCCTCCTCCTCCTCCTCCTCCTCCGCGCTTAGGCGGAAAAACGACCGTTTCCGAAGATGGATTGTGTCGCTCTGCTCCGTAGCCTCTCATGTTCGAGGCTCAGGCGTGTGCACGTGGCTCTACCACCTCTGAGTGGCCGCATCGTCGAGCGAGGCTAGCGAAACACACCTTTCCTATGCAGTGGTGTCGCAGTGATTCTTCACCTCCTCCCCTGTCGTCGCTCTTCTATTCTGCAGCTGCTGCACTGCTCGGTCTTCGTCTGCGCTGTGCTACCGCGTACGGGAGGGAGGGGAACACCCCGACGTCTGATGCCGACATCCGATGTGGTAGAAACGTGCACATGTTGCCGTCAAAATTCCCGCTCCCTGTCTCTTGCCCGTGTCAGGACCTCTGCCCTCGGCATTTGGTCGTCGGGCATCGGCTCTGACAGGCAGCTGTTCCCTCGGCCCCGCCGCGGCTTGCCGACCGTCAATCGGATCGCCAACGAATCGTCCCGAATCCATTCGGAATCGGATCTCCGCGCCAGGCTCTGGCCGGGTGCCGGCCGATGCCAGTGACTCGGAGCGAATCGAACCGAATCGGACTCGCAGCCCAAACCAGCTAATCGAACCGCATCGAATCGACTCAGCCCGTGCGAGAGATTTGCCTCCGAGCAGGAGCGGTCCGCGAGGGCAGCGGCGCCTTCCGCGGGGGGAAGACACCTCCTTTGCCTCCTCCTCCTCCTCCTCCTCCTCCTCCTCCTCCTCCTCCTCCTCCTCCTCCTCCTCCTCCGCCTCCTCCTCCTCCTCCCGCCTCCCTCCTCCTCCTCCTCCTCCTCCTCCTCCTCCTCCGCCTCCACCTCCTCCGCCTCCTCCTCCGCCGCCTCATCATCCTCGTCCTCCTCCTCCTCCTCCTCCTCCTCGCCTGCCTCCTCCTCCGCCTCCGCCTCCGCCTCCACCGCCAACTGCGCCTCCTCCTCCGCCGCCTCCGCCTCCGCCTCCTCCTCCGCCGCCGCCTCCTCCTCCTCCTCCGCCTCCTCCTCCTCTTCTCCGCCTCCGCCTCCGCTTCCTCCTCCTCCTCCTCCTCCTCCTCCTCCTCCTCCTCCTTCCGTTCTCCCTCGCGCACGCCCTCGGGACATGCCACAAGCTGGCTGGCCATGAAACGACACGCTTGGACTCGTCCAGCCCGCCTTGGCGACGACCGCGCCGAGCGGTCGGTTCAGCGGATAGGAGATGGGGCCGGACGACAAGATCGGGATGGCCTCGGTGGCAAGGCGCGAGATTGGGAGCAAGGGGGGCAGGGAGGATGAGGAGTGGGCACCGGGATGAGGAAGGGGAGGAGCACACGAGTGACAAGAGCGTGCGCAGCTCTGAGAAGCGAACGCTGCACCAAGGCCGTGCAGTGGCTTCCGGGTGCAGCGAAGTTGTTCGGGGTCGGGATTCTGGGATGCGCGCACAGATGTGTGTGTGCTTCGTCTACGGACGCGGCTCGCGTGCGCCGCCGTGCTCCCGTGGCCGCCGCTTGTTCGTTTAGCCTGGTCCTTGCTTCACCAGCCACTCCAACACACTCGGCCCTCCCGCTGCACGCGCCGACGGAGACCAGCACGCTCAGCACGTCTCGGAGCAAGCGCGCGCCGAGGAAAAACATGCGTTTGTGTGTGCGTGTGTGTGCGTGTGGGTGCGCTGCCCGGCCTTCGGCTCTGGCCCTCATTTCTCTCTCACTCATCTCCATCCTGCACTCGCCAGATCGTTTCTGCACAGCGTTCGACGAAGGTCGACTCCCCTGAGGTGTGAAGTGCGGTCTGGCTCCCCAACACGGTGGTGACCGTATGCTGAGCGCGTCCCGACTGCTCTTGAGAACAACCGACTGCAACCCATCGGCGCGCCGGAGGAAAAGAAGAGTGTGTGTGTGTGTGTGTGTGTCTGTGTGTGTCTATGTTTTTTGTGTGTGTGCGCGCGCGAGGACTGTAATTATAAAAACGTGCCCCCTTTCACTACTTCCGCAACTGGGTGCCGCAGCGCGTTTGCGAGCTAGTCGCCGCTGCGGTGCCCAGACCGCTGCCTGCAACATTACACTGGTTCGGTTCACTGGAAAAAGTGTGTGTGTGTGTGTGTGTGTGTGTGTGTGTGTGTGTGTTTGTGTGTGTGTGCGTGTGTGCCTGTGTGTGTAGCCGTCAGGACTCTGTTTTTCACATCGGAGAGCCTTGATTGACGGCTACGCAGATGAAACCCGCACGCTGGGGAATCATATGCCAGGCTTCAGACCGTTCAGCGGCCCGGGGGAGGAGGGATAGCAGGAATGAGGGGCAGGAAGGTAGGAGGAGGGCAGGAAGAGGAAGGCTAAGATTTGGATGAGGGGGACGGGGGGAAATGCGCTGAATACCTCCGCATGCCTCCGGAGACCGTATATTAATGGAGACGCCTGGCGACTTCCTCAGACCTCGGGAGGGAGAGGGAGGAGGGAGGTAGAGAGGTGGGGGGGAGCAGCGATGTATGGGCTCCGATCGATTCTACATGGCGGGGAGGCGGGGAGGAGGGGGGGAAGATAATCTACCTGCGCTGCGTGGAAGGCTTGGCCTTCAATCTTAAGCGGGATTGTGGGCGGCGACGGTGCCACGAACGCCGCAGATAAAGCTTCTGCGCGGAATGCGCGGCGCGCGCCGAGACTATGGCGATCAACAGAAATGCTGGTGCGAAACTACCTTCAGCTAGAACGGGTTCGAGAGAACGACCTGGAGAGATGGGCATGTACACACTTCTAATTTCTAATCGCGTGTGCCTCCGGCGGCTCCCGACTCTCACAGGCCCTGGCCCCAATCTTGCGACTGCAAGCAAAGAGCATAACAATTCATCAGCAACCACTGCTGGGGGAACGAACAATGACATAAACATAGAAACGCGGAGGTCCCCGCGGATTTCTCGGATCGGCGCTGGGGCCCCCTGGCCGCGCCTCCGGCTCCGCCCCTGGCGCGCTCCGCGCGCCAGGGAGGGGGGTCGAGCGCCGATCCGAGAAATCCGTGCAAACCTCCGAGAAAGAGTGTTCATGCCATTGTTCGTTCCCCCGAATTGCCCCCTGGAAAAAATCGGACTCTGAGGGTGCGTGCGAGCGGGCGCCGTGGGCGCGGCCGGCTTCTGGACGTTCAGCGTGGCTCCGTAGGGGAAGACAAACTCGAGGCCGCCATGGTCGTTCTTCATGGCGGGGACTTCTCCATCGTCCTGAGCTGGGGGGAGGAGGAGGAGGAGGAGGAGGAGGAGGAGGAGAGGGAGGAGGAGGAGAGAGGAGGAGGAGGAGGAGGAGGAGGAGGAGGAGGAGGAGGAGGAGGAGAGGAGGAGGAGGAGGTCCTTCCCCTCTATCCCGTTCTCCTGCTCTCCCTCGTCTATTCCTCTGCGCTCTGCTCCCAGGCATGCTAGGGCGCTTCGGCTGTTCTGGTTGACGAGGCAAAAGAGGCCGAGGAGGAGAGACACAGTGAGGGAAGGAGGGAGGGAGGGGAGGGAAGGAGGGAGGGAGGGGAGGGAAGGAGGGAGGGAGGAGGGGGAGGTGGAGGAGGAGGAGGAGGAGGAGGAGGAGGAGGAACAGAGGGAAGGAGGGAGGGACAGAGGAGGAAGATGAGGATGAGGATGAGGAGGAGAAGGAGGAGGAGGAGGAGGAGGAGGAGGAACAAGAGGAGAAACTGGCTTGGCTCTTAGGGTCTCTCCTTCCGTTGATTGCCTCTCAACGTCTCGGCGGCTGCGGCCGCGAAGATGCTACACACATCGCTGCCAAAGGGAGAACGGAAAGGCTCGCGGGCGACGAAACGGTCGGAGCAGGTGATGACTAAATGCGTGGCCAAACTGGCGCCGACGCGACTCGACGCACCATGATCTTGGCACGTCAGCGTCAGGATGAAGGAAAGGAGGATGAGGAGGATGGGAAGGGAAGGATGATCAAGAGGATAGAGGAGGTCACAGGTGGCAAAAGGAGGAGAAAAGGATGCAGGAACGGGGGGGAAGGAGAAGGGAGGGAGCTCCTTGGTGATATTCAGGCCAAGCCTGTCCACGTTTTCCTTGCCCGCCTTCTTCTCGCCCTTTGCCGCGCGCACCAGGTCTTTGCACAGGATCCCGTGCGTCACCAGGCACTGGGAGCCGCTTTGAGCACTCGCCCGTCGACCTCCCATAACGTTACTCCCTCCCGCGAGCGCACGCCTCTCATCCTTTGCCCCCTCCGCCCGTGCAGCCTCCCTGGCATGGCGGTGCTGCAGTCGACGCTGCCGCCTGAGGCAGAAGCGGAGGAACCTTTTCTGCTCCCGCGCGCGTCCGTGCAGGGCCGCTTCATGTCCGAAACCACGCTTCCCGACACTCCTTCCCGCGTTGGGGCCCGTGCAATCTTCCACCCCTCCCCTGCTCTTTGTCCTCCTCCTCCTCCTCCTCTTCCTCTCTCTCTCTCTGTCTCTCTCTCGCGGCTACAATGAATCAATTCTGCCACGGAGTCCGAATGTGATATAAAACGTTCCATGCCTGACATGGTCCACACCCCTCTGGCCTCACTCACTGTTAGATTCTGGATCGTGCTTTGGAGATCTCTGCATCGGATGCTTTGCGCCTGTCCAGATTGTCGTGCATTGCCTCCGTCCAGGCCTCTGCCCATCGAGCAAATGTCCCTTCAGCCGCTCTGGTCCCCGTCTGGCCTTCCCACGCGCCCTCACCTCGATGCTCGCGTTGGTGGAGTTGGGCTCTTCTTCTCCTCCTCCTCCTCCTCCTCCTCCTCCTCCTCCTCCTCCTCCTCCTCCCCCTCCTCCTCCTTCTCCTTCCTGGGCCGCGCTAGCTTCGCGCATCGTGCCCCGCGATGCGCGGCTGCCTCTGCACCTTCGCGCCGCCTCCTCCGCCTCCTCCTCCTCCTCCTCCTCCTCCTGCTCCTCCTCCTCCTCCTCCTCCTCCCGGGGCCACGCCAACTTCGCGCACTGCGCCCCGCGATGCGCGGCTGCCTCTGCGCGCTCGCGCCCCCGCCTCTCGGAGGGCGCCTTTCCGACACCGGGCCACAGTGCGCGAAGAGCGCGGTGCTCTTCGGCTTCGACGTCGGGGGCGTCGGGGCAGCCGTTTCTGATCCGAGAGCACCCCAGGCACTGAGCCGGCAGACGTACAGTCAGCCCGTATCATGAGGATGCACAATAGGGATGCAAGGGCCTTGGGCGCCCATGTTGAAGCTTTTCGAGCGGGGCGCGGCCAACGAAATTAGCCAGGGATGGACCGAGGAGGCAAGGACGCAAGGTGTGCCCATGGGAAGGCTGCCCAACTATGCGGGTTGACTGTGCACCCTGGTCTCCTCTTCAGCACAGGGCCAGAGGGGGATGACCCAGCGAGCTCAGAGCAGGGGCGCGCCACATCTTCGCGCTTCTGGGGGGGACCAGGTCTTTTCCCCTGCCTTCGCCCCTCCGCCAAGCGACAGCAACTGCATAGCCCCCCACCTCACTGGAGATCTCCCGTGAGGAAGGCGGGGTCAGGAACGGATGGGGCTTCCCTGGCCAAGGCGAGCCTCGGAAACGACCAGGCGCCACGACCCAGGTCAGAGGAGCAGCCCAGAAACCGGAGCCCCTCCCGAGCCCAGAGCGGTCACCGATCCAGCGCCTTCACTGTAAGGCCCCTTGTCTAACAGCGCCTCGCCCATGGCTCTGGGGGTGGGTGCCCCCGAGGCCGACCGGCGCGGCGCGGCCACCACCTGGCCGCACCCCCTCAGGGCGCCAAGGACAGGGGGTACAGCAAACGGGTGCACGGGGAACGCCGATTTCCACGTTTGGCTGCCCTGGATTAGGGGGCCCTGGGCGCCGTAGACAGGGGCACAGTAAACGGGGGCATATGAAAAAGCCCAAGCCCCCGTTTAGCTAAACCCCTATCTAGGAAGCACCGGCTCTCGGCCGATCGGGGCGTGTCGGTTCTGTGTGGCGGGAACGTGGGGTTATAGTCGTCATGCTACCACCACCACCAAGGGATACGGTCAGGAGATTTTGCACAGCGTGCCGCGGCGGCGGCCCCGGCGACGCGCCGTCCCCTGCGAACGGATAGCGTGTCGCTCCGCTCCGCGGGGTGGGCGGCTGGGGGGGGAAAGCTGGAGACGCTGACGCTGGGGGACCGAGAACTGGATAGCGTGTCGCGCCCAAATGTGGTGGGCCAGAACCCGCGGAACGACACGCTAAGCCAAAGTTCCGGACCAGAACCCCAATCAGTAGATGGACCTAAGATCTGCCAGACACCATGCCTTGCCGCAGCTTCGCCAGAAGGCCCCGGAAGAAGCCCAAAGTACGGAATCCCATTCAGTTTTAGCAGAATTGCGGCAGTCGCGCATGTTTGGACACTCTTCAATGCAAGCTGGCCCAAGAAGTCTCCAAGATAGCATCTGTTTTTCTCGCACGCGGTGTTGCAATGTGATCACTGTGTGATAAGAGGGACGTTTCGGCTGTTCAGGCCTTGCATGCAACCTTCGCTAATTTATCAAAAAGAACGGCGCCCGTCCAATCATCTAAGAAGAACGGTTCGCGCGTCAAAGCCTGGCACGGAGCCTTCGCCCCAGGGAGGCCAGCCTCTTCAAGGCCGCACGGATCCAAGGCCTGCTCGCACATGGATCTTTGCAAGCCCCGCCACGCTCCACGCTATAGCAGGCGACCTCCCCTTACAGGCGGAATTCAGGCGAAAAACTGAAATACTCAAACAATACCCCAAAATAATCAACAAATGACAAAAAATCATCCCCGGACTATGCTTTGACTATTTTGGAATCTTCCTCCTGTAGAGGGACAGGCCCGACTTCACTCGAGACCCAGATCCGAAGCCCGAGGCCTCGTGTCACTCCAAAACCTGCTCTCGAGGGGCCGAGAACCTTTTCCCTTTCTACTGAGAACGCTATACCATTTTTGAAAAGGGGCCCTGGGACACACAAATAAATAGACACAACTAACAGGATTCCTCATATTTTCTGGTATTTTATGGTCTTTTGCCTTCCCCCCCCACTTCCCATATTTTCCTATATCTTCAGAGGAATCGACGATTCATTGTGTCTGTGTGTTCTTTCCCTCACAAATTCTGTAAACGCTTGAGCATGGCATGAGAGAGCCCTCACGTAAGTGTGCAGCGGCTGATCGACAGAAATATTACAATGATAAATAAGCATGCTGCTACTCCAGCCCTGGGTACCCGAGTTCCCAGGGCGGCCCAGGGCGGCTGCGACAGAATCGATCAAAAGAGGTGTGCTGGCCTGGCCTGGCAGGCTCAGCTTGCAAGGTCATTGAGGTGGATGAGAGGCGAGAGCGCTCCCTGGGCGCACGGCGCTTGGTTTACGCGGCTGAGCAGGCGTTGATCGCATCAGTGCTGCGCTCTTGTGTGATGCCGGCAACTTCGCCCAGACTCGAGGTGGCCTCCCCACTGCGTTTCCCACCGTCGCCACCGTCGCTGCCAACGCGCGACGCGGTGGAGCCGATCGACACACATCTGGGCAGACTCTCCTCGGCCTCAAGCGCGGTCATCGGGTCACGATGAAGCGACTCCGAGATGATGCTGGACCGATGCCCTCCGTTCTTGCCGCAGCGCCGCCAGAAGAGCTCGGAAATGCCAATCACCACGAACCCTGCGCCCACCGCGGGGATAGCGCAGTCGGTCCGAGAGAAATCCTCGGGGTCAGAGACATAGCCGCGAGGAAGAGACAGTGGGAGGTCGAAGGTCAAGGTCAAGAGCGCCGCGCCGAAGGTCGAAGGATACGATCGCTGCGCCGAAGGTCGAAGGTCAGTGGGAGGTCGAAGGTCATCACGGCCAGCGGGAGGTTGAAGGTCAAGAGCGCCGCGCCGAGAGCGGGCAAGCGTGCAAGCCCAGGCTTTCCAAAACTTCAGGGTCCTCAGCGAGCCTGTCGCGGCACAGCCGCAGCGCCTCAGAGAGTTCGCTGGGATGCTCCTCCACGTGCTGCCGAAGGTCGCGGAGCGTCTTGGCGATGCTGGCATCCGGCGGCTCCTCGTGATTGCCGTGCTCCGCTCTGGATGCGCCGCCCCCTGTCGCATTCCCAGCCCCGCTGGGCCAGTCGCTCACTCGCCCGGCAAACTGGCGCTCCAGTGCAAGTGGGCGGCCGTGCAAGTGACCGAGGCGCGCCTTCTCCTTCCGCTGGATCGCGCCGACAATTTTGAGTGCAGGGCCAGAAACTGACCGCAGAGCTGCAGAAGAGAAGTCAGAGCGCGAGCTCCGCCCTGCCCAGCTCGAGCACCCCGCTCACGACCAATGCGAAGAGGAAGGCGAAGCCACTCCTCGCCACCATTCGACTGGGGGATGGACTACAAAATTGATTAAACCCAAACTTGATTTTCACGTCGAATCATCAACAAAAACACGTCAGTCATTTGTAGATCTGCGAAAGTTCTACGAATTGCCCGTGGATTCGACCAGAAAAATCAATTCTGGGGCAAATCAATGCCGTAGTCGTTCCCCTCCTCGCAACCATCAGAGCGAAGAGCCCAGCATGCCGACTCTGGGGGCGCTCCAGCCTGGCGCCGAGAAGCACAGAGATCAATGGCGTGCAACGCGCTGCCAAACGGCGGACGGCCTCCCCCAGGTCCCTTGGTCTCGCAACCGGGCCGAGCGCGAGGATTCCGAAGACCAGCAGGGAGGCCACGGACACCGGCTCCCAGAAGTTCGGGGAACGAGCAACGACATAAACATAAAAAACTCGGAGGTCCGCGCGGATTTCTCGGATCGGCGCTGGACCCCCCTCCTTGGCGCGCGGAGCGCGCCAGGGGCGGCACCGGAGGCGCCGCCAGGGGGGTCCAACGCCGATCCGAGAAATCCGCGCGGACCTCCGAGTTTTTAGGTTTGTGTCAGTGTTCGTTCCCCTAGAAGTAGCCCCGCAGGAGCTCCAGAAGCGTGCCATGGCCGCTGCCGCCGAGGCTTCCGTCCATGACGCCAGCCGCACCCGCGAGGTTCCGGCGGCTGTGGCACCAGGACAGCAAGAGCGTCGCACCTCGCCAGGCCGTCCTGCTCGACAGGGCCACGGCAAAGAGGTAGAGCAAGTACAGCACGAGTACCTGCACTCCAAGGTCGGCCAGGCCTACATTACCAGCGCCGATGGCGCCTGGAGGGATACTCGCGACGACGACCTCGACGAAAGGCAAGGACGTGAGCCCAGGAGCTAGGCTAGGGAACATCATCGCCAGAGTGCGTTGTTCGCGAAGTGCGGCTGGAAAGCCCGTGATCTTCAGTACCGAGAAGAAGCAAGTCGCGAGGAAGAAGCTGAATAGCAGGGCGATCGCCGCGTAGCGGCACAAGAACGCACCGTCGCCTGCATCAGGCATCTCGACCACCGCATTGTAGAGCAACGCGGGAAGGAAGCAGGAGAGGATATCCTGCTTGAAACCAATCGCGTGTATCTTGTTCGGAATCTTGAACCGAAACAAGACTCCAAGAAATAAGATGGCTAAGAGAGACGGAAGCCTAGTGAACCCATCTTGGGAGACGGCCCGTCGACGGCCCAAGACGGCCTCAAGGCTCAAGGCGGCTCCACGACGGCCAGAAGAAACCGTTCAGACGGCGAAGGGGGCCCCAAGTCGGCTCAAGAGAGCCCGAAGACGGCCCAAGAAGACCCCAATAGACGTCCAAAACTGCTCCACAGAAGCCCATGACAATCCCGGGACGGCCCCCTCAAGCTCCCTGAATTGACGTTGACTTGTGTAACGTGTGACGGCATTACTGTGATTTCTCTTCCTGTCCACCATCATCGGCAGCATCTTCATCGTCATCACCATCATCATTCTCAATATCCTGCTCATCATCATCGTCGTCATTGCATTCGAATAGCTCCTCCTCCTCCTCGATCTTTTCATCTTCGTCGCTCTGGAGGCCCCTGGAAGCTCTGGAGGCCTCCAGAAGCTCTGGCGATGCTTGGCGATGCCGCGTGCTCCCCGGCATTGCTTGGCATTGGTTTGCACTGTCAGGGTGGAATGGGCCTTGTTGGCCCGAGTAGCGTTGGGCCTGGCGATTTGACTCGAGCGCGGCAGGAGGAGAAGAATGAGGAGGGAGAACATAGTAAAACGAGGAGCCAGCGACGGAGGCGGAGGAGGAGCGAGCACTGCACTCGCATGTCTTGTGATGCGAAGGCGGAGCAGAATGCACCCCCGATGCTTTGGACGCCCGAAATGGGCACGGACAAAATGGGTACAATGCCCAACAACACATGTTGTCCCAAACCAACAGCGGCCGCTGTTGGGCAGGCGGCCTTCTGTTTTAAATGGACACAGGCCGCGGCGGCGCGGACAGCGAGTCCTGTTCAAAACGGGCAGGAAATGCTGTTGGGCATTGTACCCATCTTTCCGTACCCATTTCGATCGTGCCGAGATGCGGACAGGCCCCAAGAACCCATTGCCCCGCATTGCCCGCCATGGCGTGGCATTGCCGAGGCATCTTCGTAGCTTGGCATGGACGGGCGTAGCTTGGTATTGCTTTGGAGCGTAAGGCGATCAGTCCCAGCCGTGCCACTTGCTACCATAGGCTGGGCACTCGGACCCGAGCGCGTCATGCGATAGTGGCATGGCAATGCTTTGAGCTGCTTGGCGTTGAAAGGGCATTGTGTTGCGTTGCTTGGCCTTGCTTTGGGGTGGCAGTAGACAGAACAAACGAAGACCGAGGAAACCGAGGAACAGAACAAGGAATCAGGACCAAGGAACCCGAGGAACGCAGCAAGGAATCAAAACCAATGGTGCTCCTAACGTTACTCAACGTCCGGTGAGCTCTCCTTCTCTCCGGCCTCTAACGGCCCAAGACGCCCCAAGAGGCCTTCACGATGTCCCCAGGAGGCCTCTCCGAGATCACCCCAAGACGGCCCAAGAGGCTCCCAAGAGGGTCCCAAGACGACCCAAGAGACCTCCAATATCGTCCTAAAAGCTATGCTATCGGCATCCTTCACGCCCAGTGCATTAGCTTGACTGTGCGTTTCCTCTTCTCATCTACGCGCGCTCAAATCCTCCGTCTCTGTCTCTCTCTTTCTCTCACTTCCTCTCTCTGTCCCCCTGTCTCTCTCGGTCCCTCTACGTTGTTTACGGTTGCCGCTAGATTAGCTGCGCACAACACTGTGTAATACTCACTCTCTCCTCTCTCTGCTCCATTCCGCTCTGCGCTCTCGGGTATGTACTCTCTCTGTCTTACCGTGGTCGCAAAGACTCGGGAACCTTGTATTCTCCTATATCGACTCTCCACTCTCTCTGGTTAACTCTGCTCGCAAGTCTCTGACCCTCATACTTTTCAATGTCAGATCCTGTGGCACTTGGCCACAACCAAAACCTCCTAAACCCCAGAACCTTACTCTGCCAAATACCCAAGAACGGGGAACCCGGAAACCCTCGTGAATCAGGCCAACTGCAGGAAACTGACTCTGTCAGGAACGCCGGAACCAAACACTGGGAACCCGGGAGCGCCCCGGAAACCTGGCCGCACACTGGAATCGGCGCCACACACTCGCCTAATTACTCTTTCAGCATCCGCTCGGATCCCCTCAGTGCAAGCGCTGCTTGGGGAATGAGCAGCGCCAAATAGGAATTGAAGAGACTCTTCTGGCCACGGCGAACCTCGGTCACGAATAGGTTGCCCAACCCAAATCTAAAGAACGGCCTGGAAACCAGGCCTCCTCTTGAACCCAAAACAATGCTTGTTTCAGCGTCCTGACTGTACAACCGATGCGGCCAGGCCGACGCCAGCCCCCCCCCATGATCCCGGCCGGTCGGGGCCCAGCTGTGATGGCCAGACATCTGCGCCTCGCCCCCAGGAAGTGCACAAGCTCAAAGCGTCCTTGCCTCCTTCGGGTGGTGGTACTTGTGGTACACCGTCCGCACCACGGAGTCGTTGTTGATGAAAATGCCGAACTGCTCCAGCAGCCAGTTGACCTGAGGAGTTCCATATCGGCTATGGCACGCGTTCGCGGACAGAGAAGACAGCAGCGCCATGGAAAGGGATAGGAGGGAGGGATAGAGTCAATTCTGAGAGTAAGGAGAGGAGGAGGAGGAGGAGGAGGAGGAGGAGGAGGAGGAGGAGGAGGAGGAGGAGGAGGAGGAGGGGGAGGAACGGATGCGGACGCCAGAGGCCGTTCGGCACTGAGCGCGCGTACCCAGGTCGGCCTGGCCCTGGCCTAAGGACAGCACAACAAGCATGAACAGATATTACGGAGATCGTCAGTACATCGTATCTTGGGCTTGCACAGCTTCTCCGCTACCTGCGAGGATGAGGAGGGCCCAGATAACAACAAAGCAACAACAATCTGTAACTGCCCGAGAATTCGACAAGCATGAGTCAAGACGGCGAAGGAGAACGAGGAGAAGCGGAGGAGTAGAGGGATGGGGACGGGGGGAGGGCGTCACGCATTCTGACTGACATGAGTGTTGGCTGGTTGGCTGGCGCATGGATTCACTCCTCTCCCTGCCTCTCACCATACCTAGCCCTGGTGCGATCCGTATCCCTTCATCACGTGCAAGGGAGACTAAATAATGCGAGCTGGGATTTGAGCGAGGTTGCCCCTGTCTCAGGCGCGAGCAGATCCCGCCCCCGGACGTTCGTGTTGTACTTGCCCTCGCCGCCCTCACCTAGCAAGATCAAGACATTGCCGCCCCCCGCCAGGTAGTCCTTGATGGCCTGGAACTCTTCGCCTTGGCACACGCTGCAAGTGCGCACGAAGACTCTCTCGGATTAGGAGCGAACGTCTTTCCCCCACTTGCCTCTCGGAGACTGGTCCGCCGCTGCACTCTACAGTGAGCGCGAGTCAAGGCTCTACGCATTCGTACATGCAGAGCACCGTGCGAAATAAAAAAACACCAGCCCTCCAATGCATTGCCAATTGTCCGTTTCTTGCCTTTTTCTCGAAACTGGTTTAGAACTTACGCGTCGGAACAAATATGACACTTTGAATGTGCATGTTCGGGTAGAATCACGGTACCCTCCCATGCAAACGGGCCCTAGGAAGACCCGTGACGACACCCTGGCGCCGTGCCTTGTGCTAGTGTGTTTGTTTCCAGATGGTCCTATCTTGCCTCCTTTCACGCCGAACGGGCTCACCAAGGGAAAAACAAACTTTGAATACACCGCACAGACGAGGCCTACATAGCTCAGACGTACCGAACTTGTATTACATGGTTCCTGCCTGGAAGAATCATTGAGCAACAATGTTTCCCATGACCCATCGGGCGCTGCCCTGATGATGGACGCCCCACAGACATCCCCGACGACGGCCCATACGCGCTCCAAGGAGCTCCCTGGAAGGGCTGAGGGCGGCCCCCAGACGGCCACCGAGTCAAACCGAAGCTCTCGAAATGCTGTCGAGGCAGTCCGCGTTCGATGACATGCGGGCAGCATTGAAAACCGTAGTGCTTCTGCGCAGCTTTTGATCTCCGTCCTCTGGCCCCAGGTGAATCTTGGAGGGTATCCGACGTCCCGGCGTAGCCCCAGGCCTCCGCAGGCGACCCGGGGCGCTCCCAGAAAGGCCCAGAGGATCCGAAGAAAAGCGCAGTGCACCCAAAAGCCGTCCGAAGACGGCCCAGTACCGTCCGAAGACGGCTCGAGCATCCGCCAGGGGCACCTCTCGTTGGACGAGTTCCCGACCTGCGCCCAAGTCAACCCACGGACGTCCACGCAGTGGCCAAACATGTATATGGTATTGTGGGCGGTCCTCGTTCACGCGATGCATTTGGCTTGCTGCTCCCCTTGGTCCAAGATGGTTTCTAGGAGGCCTTCGACGCCCCATGAACGCAACAGAGATAATTTCTTGGACGCCACAAACAGCCTCCAGACGCTTCAACCAATCTATGAGAAGATCCCAAGATGCGCCCAAGGCGCCCCACGACGAGCACATCACAGCACAAGGAGGCCCAAGACGGCACTAGGAATCCCTCAGGAACGCCCAAAGACCTCCAGAAACTTTCCAAACACCCTTGGAAATTCTTGGGTTGGGCCCTCAAAGAATCCGAAGACAATGCCGAATAGAACATTCGTGGGTTGCTCCTTCTCCTCCTTCTCCTCCTCCTCCTACCCCCCTTTGGGGTTTGACTATACTCTTGAATGGTCCGGCTCCACCCGTCCACCCCATCGTCGTCGGCGCGATGTCGTCGGGGTCGTTGAGGTCATTGTCGTCGTCGTCTTCCGCCGTGCCGTCCGTCACCGCGGAGGCGCATCAGGTTGCCGGGCCGAGCCCCCGGCTGGAGAACATCTCCTTCGGCCCCCCGAATATGACAAGGTTCGCCTGGGGAGCGCAGCAGGCAGGGGACACGCACCAACACAATGTCTTCATAGGCAGCGCAATAGCCATGCAACTCTACGGCAGCGCATCGTAAGGCTGCTTCCCAGACGGCCCCAACGAGGAGGAGGAGGAGGAGGAGGAGGAGGAGGAAACGGAGCAGGAGGAGGAGGAGGAGGAGGAGGAGGAGGAGGAGGAGGAGGAGGAGGGAGAGCTCGGTGGCACCATCGCGCCCGATGCTGCCCGAGAAAGCCTCTTGCAGGGGGGAGGGGGGGGCGCGTGAGCGCCCGAGCGCCCCCGGGAGACGGCGCCACGCTTCGGCCGAGCCTCTTGGGGAGAGCTCGGTAGATCTGTCCTGCGCTCGGGGATCCTCTGACCCGGGTCAATCCAGACCCGGGTCAACCAAGCCTTGCAGAATCCTGCAAGATCCTGCACCCAAACCCGGGTCAATGCGAAGGATCCTGCAAGTCCCTGCACCCAAGCCCGGGTCAATGCGACCCTGGCCCTGCAGGATCCTACAACATCGGGCGGTCTGGTTGACCCCCGTTTGCATTGACCCCCGTCTCAAAGCTCCCGATGCGCGTACTTCGGTGCTGCCCCGGCACTGCGACGGGGTGAGCCGCAGCCAGCTGGATGAGCGATTGTCTGAGAGCGTCCATGGAAGCTCGGGGATACCATGACGGAGACGTGCATGCGGGACCGAGGCGAGAGGATGTGAAAAGAACATGCCCGCTGGGGTGGCGGGAATGACAGCAGGGACTGTCGAGAGCTCGGCTTCAATCTCTACGCGATTCTGCCTGCTGCAGCCTCTCCAGTGTGATAGTGTCCTTGTTGACAGAGATCGAGAAGTCTGCCTCGTGGGCGGAAGCAATGATGCTGGCACGGATGGGCGGGATACACATCCGGCGATGTACGTCCAACTTACATGCTGAGTCCCCCTCCTCGCGCTCTCTCTCTCTCTCTATCTCTCTCTCTCTCTCCCCCTCTCTCTCGGACTGCTGCGTGCAGAACGAAGAACGAATGCACGGATTCGTCATGTTCCTGTTCTGTTTGTTCATGCTTGGCAGTAATGCGAACTGTACGGGCAATGTCATGGATGAGACGTATAGAGAAGATCAAATCTGGCGGGAATACTGCCAACATCCGCATCTCAACAAATCATGTGATGGCGCAATCCGTGGGTGAGCTGAAGTGGACAAGCGGGAGAGGGAGGAGGAACAATAAGAGAACTCCCAACAGAAAACCTCCATCACCAGTGTGATGAGCACAATGATGTGCGTTCGCACAAGGGCAGGCTGGCATGATCAAGGAAGGAGTCCATGGCAAACGGGGCCGGGCTCCGATCTCTGAGTGCGCACTTGGGATGCACTTCGGCAGCGCGCATCGCGAAATCACTCCACCCCCAACCCACACACCTAAAATAACCCTACACACCTGCACACACACAGACACACGGACACACGGACACACGGACACACATATACACAGACACACAGAAACACCTACACAAACTGACACACAGTGCTGGGGCCCAGGCACAGATCCAAGTCGGGCTTGTTCCCATCTCCTACCGCTCCACACCGCCGTCAAAGTTGCATCACCACCATCACCATCACCTCTATCACCATCCCCGTCCTCACCACTGGCATCAGCAGCGCCACCGCCGTCGCCATGCATTCTCCCAGCGCTATAGCTCCTTGCCTTTATCCTTCTGTGGAACTTCTTGCAGTTGCTGGACGGATTCAGCTGCTCCTTCTTGGACAGATTGATCAAGATCTCCTTGGCCGACGGAGGCAGGCAAGCCGCTCGTCGATGTTTCTACGTCCCCAAGCGGCCGAAGGCCTCACTGGGTCCCTGCTGGGCCACCAGCGATCAGAGAAATCTCTGTGGGGCACCGGTTGACTGGCAGGAGTCTTCTTTGATGCCTCGACGGTGATCGGGAACTCGCGCGCACGAGCATACTCGCTCAGGAGAACTCGCCACCGCTCGGGCCTCTTTTCCCCGTGCATCTGTCGAGCAAAAATGCACACGTCCGAGCGATGCCAAGAAAAATACATACTTTCAACGACCGACGTGCACCCTTGCCTGACACTGAAAGCCCTTGCCGTGCACCCGCCTCTGCAGCGCCCCTCCTCCCCCTCCCCCTCCCCCTCCCCCTCCCCCTCCCCCTCCCCTCTCCCCCTCCTCCTCCTCCTCCTCCTCCTCCTCCTCCTCCTCCTTCTCCTCCTCCTCCTCCTCCTCCTCCTCCTCCTCCTCCTCCTCCTCCTCCTCCTCCTCCTCCTCCTCCTCCTCCCTCCCCTCCTCCTCCTCCTCCTCCCTCCTCCTCCTCCTCCTCCTCCTCCTCCTCCTCCTCCTCCTCCTCCTCTCCTCCTCCTCCTCCTCCTCCTCCTCCTCCCCCTCCTACTCTTCCTCCTCCTCCTCCTCCTCCTCCTCCTCCTCCTCCTCCTCTACCTCTGGAGGCCGCCGGACGCCCGCCAGGCCTCCGGCGGCTCCACGACGTCCAGCGACCTCGATCCTCGAGCCTCCTCCTCCTCCTCCTTCTCCTCCTGCCTCCGCCTCCACCTCCTCCTCCTCTCCTCCTCCTCGCCTCCTCCGCCTCCACCTCCTCCTCGCCTCCTCCGCCTCCTCCTCCTCCTCCTCCTCCTACTCCTCCTCGCCTCCTCCGCTCCTCCGCCTCCTCCTCCCCCTCCTCCTCCTTCCCTCCTCCGCCTCCGCCTCCTCCTCCTCCTCCTCCTCCTCCTCCTCCTCCTCCTCCTCCTCCTCCTCGTCCTCCTCCTCCTCCCCCTCCTCCTCCTCTACCTCTGGAGGCCGCCGGACGCCCGCCAGGACTCCGGCGGCCCCACGACGTCCAGCGACCTCGATCCTCGAGCCTCCTCCTCCTCCGCCTCCTCCTCCTCCTCCTCCTTCGCCTCCTCCGCCTCCTCCTCCGCCTGCTCCTTCGCCTCCTCCTTCGCCTCCTCCGAGCGATGCCGAGAGGAGTGCGCGTGTGCCTGCCTTCGCCTGGTGGGCACGCTGCGCTCGCGCGTGCGCGCGCGCGCGCCCACGGCCGCGCAAAGGCGCCTGCGCCGCGCAGATGAGGGCAAACCGGCACGAGCGGTGGAGCGCGGGCGCCGCTGTCTCAACGCACAAACGACGAGCTGGATCGAGCCGTGCAATACGGCTCGGGAGAGCCAAGAGGTCGGGCGTGTCCCCCTTCTGGCGGATTCCGGACGAAAAAATGAAAAATAGTCAAAACATGCACCCCAAATGCTCAAAGATAGTCAAACCATCGTCCCCAGACTATTTTATTATTTTTGAATATTCCTCCTGTAGTGGGACAGGTCCGACTTAAGACCAGAGTCGAAACGATGAGACGGATCGGCGATCGAAACGATTCGGATCGGCGGACATCGGCAGCCGAGTCGGGAAAAATCGGATCGGCGGAAATCGGCAGGCCAGTATGCGTCCAACACGACATCGAAATCGATTCGATTCGAATCGGAGGAGTCGGAATGAGCGCTGCTGGTCCTGCCTTGTGTCCTTCCACGCTCAACGTGCCCCTCCCGAGGGAAAACTAAATTTGAAAGCAACGCACAGACGAGCCCTGATAAGCACACAACTCAAACGCACCAAACTTGCATTACACGGATTCTGCTTGAAAGAACGATTGAGCAACCATTTCTCCCATACTGTCGGATCTAGGCCGTAATCACATCCTTCAAGAACATGATACCCTCCGCCAGCCAAAACACACAGAGCATCCTAGGGTACCCTCCCCAGGATGCACAAGAGCATCCAGCAAACACGAATGACATTGGGGTACCCTCTCCGGACCGACCTCGATCATTCACCTCTTACCTCGATTCGACTGTAGAACGACAGGGGACGCATGAAACAGATGACGGGAGAGATCGAAGCATCTGTCAGAAGCAGTCCCCTTCTCTCCTCCCCTCCTCCTCTTCGTCCCGTCGCCTTCTCCCCTCGTCCTCATGGCATGATTGAAGAGAAATGCTCGTGTGGAAACGGGTCCTCTTTTTGTCCAGGGGATGTGTTTGACGATCCTGAGGCCCAGGGACGTCACCACAAGCCCCAATTCGGCGGAACACCTCCAGGTCTCCTCACTCCTCCAGGACCTCATTCTTTGCCTCATGGCGATCCTCCTCACTCCCCGAGGTGTAACGTTCGGGGGGACTGCCTCGGGGTGTGAACATCGACCTGGAATCGGCGATACGTCGCCGATAGATCGGCAACAGCCTCTCGATCATAAATGCGGACGTCCCTGGGCGGGGCGGGCTCTGGGGATCTGGGGAGCCCCATCAGTGATGAGTGGGCGGTTGGGGGTCGACGCGTTCCCCTCTGGCCTATTCCCATCCTGGCATTGCCCCTGACTCCCCCCTGCCCTTCCCCGTCCTTGCCAGCCGCGCCCTTGTCGGCATCAGCGCTCATCTATGCGCGATTGGGCAGAGGGTGCCCGCGAGCTCCGACACCAACCGGTCTGGCAGCGGCAGGGGGCAGCGCGACTCGAGCCACAATTCGCGCGTGCTGAGGCTGCCCCATTCCCGTGTGCACCGGCCGTCCCCCTGCCTGGAATCCTGGGATGCCTCCCAAGCGTGGCATCCGCAGGGACATGGCCAAACGATCTGCCCCCCTGCTGCCCACTATCCCGCCCATGAGGTCCAAAGCGAAATCCAAATGTATATTTCCAAAGTCATATCAGATTTACATCCGGCGGAGGGGGGCCAGGAAGCCAGTTTTCTGAATTCAAAAACCAGTTTGTAGAATTCACAAAGCCAATTTTTTGAATTCCCAAAACCAGTTTTTTGAATTCGCAAGACTAATTTCTTGGGGTTCAAAAAATCCTCGCGCGAATCATGAGAGGTCTCCAGGGAGCTCCCGGGTCCTGCCTGGGGACTAGCGTCCCCAGACTATTGTTTGACTATGTTAGAATATTCCATCTGTAGAGGGACAAGCCCGACTTAAGCTCATTTGCACGACCGACGTGTCACCGCACATCGCGCCCTGAGGACTCTAGAGTAATAGGTGCGCCCAGGCGACGTCCCTGGCGTTCGCCGCGCCCGTCGGATAAATTTTGGCCCCCGGGGGCCCCAGCATGTCCACATCCACCGCCTGCCCATGCCCCCCAAATGGATCCTCCGGGCGCTGGTCGCGTAGAAATTCCCGCCTCGACCCTCGAGCACCTCCGCCGCGAGGCCTGCAGGTCGGGGGTCGGAGGTCCCCGGGGCGTTGCGCCTGAGCCCCTCCCGCGAAGGGTACGGAGGGAAGGAGGGAAGGGTATAAGCTAGAGGAGCAGGATAGCGAGGAGGAGGAGGAGGAGGACGAGGACGGGGTGATCGACGGGGGAAAAAGGCCCCCAAAGGTACGGAAGAACGGAGGAAAGAGTAGACATTAGAGAAGTAGGATAACGCAGAGAAGAAGGACGAGGACGTGTGCTCGAAGGGGGAAAAAGGAGAAGAGGGAGGAGCAGGACAAGGAGGAGGAGCAGCAGCAGCAACAGCAGGAGGGCGAGAGGAGCGAAGACGGGGTGATGAGAAGGAGAATGGACATGAGTATGGGGGAGGGGGGGAGAAGAGGAAATGTGAGAAGGATGAGGAGGGGGACGAGGACACCGAGGAGGGCGATGAGGATGGTGAGGCGTTGGGGACGGAGGAGGGGGACGGAGGAGGAGAGGGGAGGCAGAGGGCGGGAGAAAGAGGAGGAACTGGATAGGGAGGATGACGACGAAGATGAGGACGACGACTCGATGACGACGGCAACGGCAGCGGCGACAACGAGGTGTCGCTCTTTGATGGGCCCGCCGCGCGTGCATGGATGAGCGAAAGCATGCTCCGAGGGCCCACTTCGGGGCGCTTTGGCCCTCGGGGCCCTGGGGGCGCCAGAAGCCGGGCGCTATTAGTCCCTGGCCTCCTACGGCTTAGGCTGCGGACATTGGTCCACAGCCTCCTCCTCCTCCTCCTCCTCCTCCTCCTCCTCCTCCTCCTCCTCCTCCCCCTCCTCCATTCATCCTCGTCCTCTTCCCTGTCGCCCACGTGGATGGAACATCTTGAGCGTCTCTGATTCTTCCCTGGGCCGCTGGGAACCTCTGGAGGCCTCCGGGGACTTCGAAAGACTTCCGAACAACTCTGCTGGGAACCTCGGGGGACCTCAGATGACCTCAGGGTCAATCTGGGAGACCTCTGGAGATCTCCGTCTCCAGAGGCCCAGCCAGCCACAAAGCTAAAACCACGCCTGAAACATGTGCAATCGAATAGATATGTACTGTAGCGCCTGTCCAGTTCTGGCATCTGGTGTGGGCCGTTCGATCTCGGCCAGACAGAAGCACATTGATATAAGCCTTGCGCTGGCAGAAGTCAGCCGTCCGCGGCCGTCCGGCGTTTATGTTTATGTGCTGTTCTGGCCTCCCAGCTTCCTGGTCCACCACCACCACAGCTACTCCTGATCATGCTCGCTCCTCCCTGTCCACTGCCCTCCTCCTTGCCCTCGTGTGCAGCTTAGGTGTGCGCGGTGTAGGTTCACAAGCACCTCGCCCCTCCCTTTCGGCTGCACAACATAATCATTCCTCCGTGTGCTTGCGCTGGGTGCGTAAGTCGTCGCCCCTCGCCGCTCCCTCTCGGCTGCACAGCAAAATCATTCCTCCTTCCTCTCGCGGCGGACGACAGGGGGGTACAACACAAGGGGGGGGGACCGAATCAGCTGCGTGCAGCTGGCTTCCCTGGCGCCTTCCGGTGCTGGAGCCAATCATGCCTGGCGGCGGGGCCGAAGCTGGCTGCGCGCAGCAGACCTGGCACCCCCGCGTCTCGATCCTCCCTCCCCTCGCCCCGCGCGCCTCCTGCCCCTCCCACCCCTCCTCTTGCCATCGCCAGGACGTCCATTCCCCGTGCATGTTTCGGTTTCGTGCGTGTATTTCCCTAATCAGAGCGTGCCTCTGTAGGTTCCTAGCGGATTCATATGGTTAGGTGAGATGGGGCGCCGATTTGGTGGCCGGGTGCCCGGGTGCCCGGGGGTGCCCGTGGGTGCCCGGGTGCCCGATTTCGGTGGCCGGTGGCCTGGTGCCCCGGTGCCCGGGTGCCCGTGGGTGCCTGGGTGCCCGGGTGCTCGGGGGTGCCCGGAGGTGCCCAGGGGTGCCCGGGTATTTTATAGCCATGTAGCCCTATAGCCTTATAGCTCTATAGCCCAATAGCACATATAGCCCATATGGCCTTATAGCCCAATAGCTCAATAGCCCTGTAGCCCCTGTAGCCCTGTAGCCCAATAGCCCTATACCCCCATAGCCATACCTATACGACCACCCTTCGGGTGATAAGGAGGTTCGGGGGGGGGGGGAACCAACGTCTCACTCGATCGGTCTAACTATCGATCTCAGTATCGATCTCACTATTGGTCTCGCTCGATCGATCTAACTCGATCGATCTCACAATCGATCTCACTCGATCTATCTCATTCGATCGATCTCACAATTGATCTCACAATCGATCTCACAATCGATCACACAATCGATCTCACATTCGGTCTCAATATCGATCTCACTATCGCTATCACAATCGCTCTCACAATCAACGTCATCATCATCATCATCATCATCATCAACATCATCAACATCATCAATATCAACATCATCACCAACATCGTCATCATCATGAGAGCACCGTCAGCATCATCATAAACATTATCATCAACGTCAGCATCATCATCGGAACAACATCATCATCATCACCATCATCATCTCATCATCAACATCATCATCATCGGGACACAGTCGTCGTCATCATCATCAGCAGCATCATCAGAATCATCATCATACTCGGGACACCATCATGATCACCATCATCCTCATCATCAGCATTATCATCAACATCGTCATCATCCTCGGGACACCATCATCATCATGATCATCGCATCATCATCACCATCATCATCGACATCATCATCATCAACAACATCATCATCATTGGGGCGCCATCATCATCATGAGCAATAGCATCATCAACATCGTCATTCTCATTATTATCATCGGGACACCATCAGCATCACCATCATCATCACCATCATCATCAGCATCATCATCGGGACACCAGAATCATCGTCAACATCATCATCATCAACATCATTACCGCCTGAATTTTCCATCAACATCATCATCACCAACATCATCGGAATCATCATCATCATCATCAGCATCATCATCGGGACACCATCATTGTCATCATCATCAACATAATCATCATGAGCATCATCATCCTCATCATCGGGACACTATCATCATCATCGACACCATCATCAGCATCATCATCTTCATCGGGACACCATCATCATCTCATCATCTCATCATCATCATCATCATCATCATCCTCATCATCCTCATCCTCATCCTCATCCTCATCCTCCTCATCCTCATCATCATCATCATCATCATCATCATCATCATCATCATCATCATCATCATCATCTCATCACACCGCGGACACCGCGGGACACCGCGGGACACCGCGGGACACCGCGGGACACCGGCGGGACACCGCGGGCGGCCGCCCGGACATTTGGTCCGGCCGCGCCTCAGCCACACGGGACACCAGCGGGACACCGGCGGGACACCGCGGGCCACCGGCCGCCCGGAAGGGAGTCATTTGGTCCGGCCGCGCCTCAGCCACAGGAGACTTTCTCTCGCCCGCCCACGCAGCTTCGCCTCGCCCGCACGGCACGCACGAACACGAAACCGAAATCGATTTCCCGGTAGGGGGGCTCTCCGTTCCACTTCGATCTCACCCTCTCACCTCCGATAGCCCTATAGCCCCATAGCCCTATAGCCCTGTAGTCCTATAGCCCCATGGTCCCAACAATAACATGATTGGGTTTTTCTCTGGTATCATTTTTCGCTGAAAGATGATACAGGGTGCTCCTCGATGGGCCTCGCCGAGATAACGTGCACACGGCCGAACGATGCCAAGCCCTCCTACTCCTCCCGCCCCTCCTCCCGCCCCTCCTCCCTCCAACCCCTCTTCCTCAGCTCCTGCCTCCCCGCCCCTCCCGCCCCTCCTCCTGCTCCTCCCGCCCCTCCTCCTGCTCCTCCTGCTCCTCCTGCTCCTCCTCAGTCCCTCCTCCGCGCCACGCCCCGCGGTTGATCGGCGGGCCGCCCGAGCACTGTGCGCCTTGGGCGCGCGTCACTCCGCGGGCCCCTGGAACCAGCCCTCGTCCTGGTCCTTCGGCCGAGGAGGGTGGGCGGGGCGGGGGTGGGGGCGGCCAGGGGGGGGGGGGGGCAGGAGCACGGGGGAGGACGGGGATCAGGTGGAGGCGCGGGAAGCGGGGACGAGAAGGGTGATGATGAGGGGGAGGGCGGGGAGGAGGCGGGTGGGGAGGACGAGGGAGGAGGGAGTCGAGGAGGGAGGAGGAGGAGGAGGAGGAGGAGGAGGAGGAGGAGGAGGAGGAGGAGGAGGAGGAGGAGGAGGAGGAGGAGAAGGAGGTGGAGGCGAAGGAGGAGCAGAAAGACGAGGAGGACGGGGAAGAAGAAGAGGATGAGGTGCACTATAACACATGTGGGCACCTTTTCAGCGGACGCCTGGAAAACAGATCTGCGCAAGTTTACTATCTAGCGCACGCTCGTGCTATTGCTCATGTGCCTGCAGACACGCGGCTTCATTTACTCATTCACTCCCCCCTTCGTGCCGCGATGTGCAGCATTTCCAGCGGCGAGGCGTAGGACATTCTTGTTCAATGCTTCTGCATCCGTGCAGCCCGCGTACCATACCCCTCCCTCTCCTCCCTCCTTCCTCGAACCTGACCGCTGATTGCGGTCAATTTCTTTAGCTCTTATCGTCGGGCGTGCCGCCGACTGAATGGGCTGCATACATGTAGGTAACACCGACACGTGTGAGTCTTTGCCCTGCTTCTGCGGCGAATGAGTATACAGACTCACCGATGCCCCTCACCGCATCGGTGCCATGAACAACGATGGCATCGAAATTAGCTCATCTGATCCCTGTGCATTAGCTCACATTGTCTTGGGGGGCATGCAGAGGCCTCCTAGATGGGGTCCGAGTAGATAGGGTCGGAAGATCTCGCCGCATCGCCGATACATCGGCGATGCATCGCCGATGCATCGACGTTGCATCGGCGATACATCCGCGACGTCGGCGTGTAGAACTTTGGGCCCCACATCGAGCCGCATCACCGATGCATCGCCGATGCCACGGCGATGCGGCGCGATCCTCCGACCCCATCTACTCCGACCCCATCTAGGAGGCCTAGAGCAAGTGTGCGACCATGTCGTATCACCGGGGAGCAGGCGGGGGCAAGTCGTGCCAGTCCTCGGTGGAGAGGGCGAGATACCTGGCGTGCCCGAACTCCGACGTCCTTGGATGAGCGGATTCTGCTCTCACCCCGGCTGGCCCTCCGCTCCCCTCGATCCCTCTCCCAACTGGTTCCCCTGAACCCCTTCCCTTCTCCTCTGTACGTGCACACTACGAGTACTACTCTCCCTTCTCCCCTGATGCTGCGTTGTATTGTGTGTTGTGTGTCGGGGGGGGGGGGGGGCACCACCCTTTGTCCTATGTGCTTTGTGAGTCGATTGTCTGTGTCTAAAACAAGCATGTGTTCCTTCTGCAATGTTGGCCGCAATGCAAAATCGGCGCTTTGCCCCCGTCGTTCAGAATTGTGCTCTCGCCCCGCAGGCCACATTGCGGGATCTGGTGCGGTCCTCGTCGTTGCCAACTCAATGTTTTTCCCTCCTCCGCCGTCACCTGGCCCTCCTGCTCCTTCTGCTCCTCATGCTCCTGCCGCTGTCCCTTCTCCTTCTTATTATTATTGTTCTGCTTCTCCTTCTTCTTCTTCTTCTTCTTCTTCTTTTTACTCAGCATGCTGCTCTTCCTCCTGCTCCTCCTCCTTCACCTCCTCCTCCTCCTAGTCCGATGTGCAAAGCCACCCTCCTATTGCGCATCACACGACTGAGGTCACTTTGAAGATCAATGCCACCTAGGACACCATTGACAAGCCCGTCGTTAAACAACGCCCTGTACTGAAAAGGTGCCGGGGGCACTCTCCGACTACCCGGGGGCGTGCGGTACCGCACTCCGATTGCGCAAGTACGGAATCGTTGACCGATGTCCAGGACAAACAACTACAATCAACTACAAACACACGTCGATTGGCAAAAACGACGGGGAACTGCATCGGTACACTGCGAAAACCAGTGTCGAAGTCGTCGCAGAATTCCTCGCTCGAAACGTCATGGGTGGTAATCCTCAGAATACCCGGCTCCCCCCCCCCTCTGCCCTCTGCCCTCTACCTTTCCACTCCTTCCTCATCATCCCACCATGCCCCGCGGTTCCCTTTCCCCACTTCCGATGACCCCCACAACTCTAGACCCCGCTCAGGCTGGCGCGCAACGGTGAATGGAACACTGTCCCCGAATCGAGCGGACGCTGACATGGATTAGAAATCCTTGGATCTGGCACATCCACGGATCGGGGCATGCACCCCCCGAAACATGATGCCAACGCCGCCCGATTTGGCGACGGAGTGCGCCGATTCTGTACGGAAGCGGGCAACGCCGCTAATCCACTCGCCTTGCTCCGTGCCTGCGATTTTTCGACCGACGTCCGAATCGAACTGGACTCGCCCTCCAACCATTGAGATCGTCGGCCAACAAAAACAAAGCATCAAATTTACCGATCTGGTGGCACCACATGTTTGCCTGAAGCGGAAATCCCACACATGAGCCCGAATCAATCGTGCCCTGGTGCGCACTGTTCTGCATGCGAACTGTCCCCGAATGCCGCCCTCCCCCCCCCATCGTTAGCGGCGCGCGCAAGGATGTATGGGGGTCGGGGGGACAGCCTCCTAGAAGGAAGCTGCTTCTCAGAAAGGCGCCAGCCCTACATCAGCAGAGCCGGCCCGCGCCTTCTACGAAGCAGGGTGCTTCTGAGAAACCTTCCTCCCCCTCTGCTCGTGGCTGCCACGTTATGCGTGCAACTGGTCCGGGCATGCTGTCCTCCAGCCCCCCCCCCCCCACTCCTGAGGGGCAACGATCGGGGGGGGGGGACTGGCATAGGGGGGATGCATCGACCTGGGATCGGCGATACATCGCCGATGCGTCGGCGATGGGCCCCCGAAGACGAATCCGCACCTTCCTGGGCAGGCTGGGGCTATCGGGCCCCTATCGGCGATCACTGGGCGCTTGGGGGTCGATGCGTCCCCCCCTGTGCCTATTCCCCCCCCCATCGTTGCCACTACGCCGTCCGCGGCGCGGAGCAAAGAGGGCTGGCTGGCTGGCTGATGGCGGGCAAGGGTCTGGCCGCTGAACAGAGCGACGACGGGCGAGCGAGTCGCTGGGCAGAGCGCCGCGCGGAATTCCCCTCGCCCGTGCGATGCGCCCCGCGCCCTCGCTCTCCGAGGGTGGCGCTGCTGCCTCCGCGCACTGGGCTCGCCCTCGCCCCGGAAGGCCTCTGGCGCCCCGGCCCCCGACCGCCCCCGCGCCCGCCATGGGGGGGGGGGAGGGGGGGGACCCGGCCAGGCCTCCCCCTGCCGCGCCCGCTCGGTCCCGCGCGTCGCCCCCCGTTGTGGACGCCCGAAACAGCGAGAAACCTTCCACAAAAAACCCAGCCCTGAGTCCACAGGGCTTCCATGGATTTTTTGGTGTGAGCACGTCGCGCTCTCCATAGCAAAACCATCGGAACCCACGAAGTCCAGGGCCCCCAGGAGGCAAGGAAGGTGTTTCTTGGCATGGGTCTCCACTGCACGGAAAAAATTGGCCGGATGCCCAACGCGTCGGCCGGATCCACGGGTGCGCGAAGACGCGATGCCAGCATCCGCGTTTCCTGCGCCGTGCCCCGCGGATCCGACAGAATCCAGCGCAACATCCCTTACCGGCGCCTTCGCTCGGGAAATGTTTGCAAAATCGTCCCCACCGCTTTCCCCATCTCCACCAATTTAATGTAGTGTTGTATTATGTGTGTTTCTTTCTCGTTCTGTCTTTTTTTTTTTTCTCTCTCTCTCTCTCTCTCTTTCTCTCTATCGCTCTCTCTCTCTCTATCTCTCTTTCTTTCTCTCACAATCTTTCCCTATGTGTATATGTATACAGACATCCATACAAACATACATGCATACATACATATACGTATATGTATATCGCTCTCTCTCTGTGTGTATATGTACATGTATATTTACATACACACAAATATATTACTTACATCTACAACTATATAGTTGCTCATACATAATCACATCTATATATATATATATATATATATATACACAAATACCCAAAGAAACTCCCGATCAAGCGCAAGGCGGCCAGCCAGACCCAAATCGGCACCAGCTGCTTTGGACAACGACAATCTATCTCGAATGCGCCACGTCCGCGGCGACGCCGACAGCCAATCCAGATCTACATGGGCAGGAACTGCTATCGGCTTTTGTCTTTGCTTTTCGGCGGCCAATCCCAGGGGAAACTGAAAAGGGGGCGGGCCTTCATAGAAGGCTCGCAAGTTCCGCGGCCGTCTGAAACGTTTTCCGAACTTTCCCCGGAGACACAGAAAACCTCCCAATAAGGCCGGCGGGCCAGGAGAAGCCTCGCCGCCTTCCGAGAAGGCCATTTCGTTCGCCGCCAAAATCTCCCCATACCAATGTGGACGCCCGGGATGGAAACGAAGAGCATGGGTACGATGCAAAACAACAGATGTTGTCCAAAACTGGCAGCGGCCGCTGGTGGGCAGGCGGCTTCTTGTCCCAAGTGGACAACGATTGCGGCGACGCCGACAGCAAACTTTGTTCAAAAGGAACAGGAACCGCTGTTGGATTTTGCTAGGCAAGCGAACGATGACACAAACATGAAAATTCGGAGGTCCGCGCGGATTTCTCGGATCGGCGCTGGGCCCCCTCCCTGTCGCGCGGAACGCGCCAGGGGCGGCGCTGGAGGCGCCGCTAGCGGGGTCCAGCGCGGATCTGAAAAATCCGCGCGGACCTCCGAATTATGGTGTCTATGTCATGTCTCGTTCCCCTACCCGTGCCCGTGGGTTCCGCGCCCAGTTCCGTCGCCCCGAACCGATCTCGACCGTGCCGGCCTACCGCCCGAGCCGCCCCGGCAGCCTCCCCCCGCCCCCCTGCAGAGAGGCGCCCCGCGCGCACGACGCGCGGGGGCCCCGCGGGGCCGCGCGGGGGGGGGGGGCGCTCGGCCCACGCTCCATGGGCGCGGAGGGGCGGGGGGCAGCGATCGAGTAGTAGGAGGAGGAGGAGGAAGGAGGAGGAGAGGAGGAGGAGGAGGAGGAGGAGGAGGGAGGAGGGGGAGGAAGAGGGGGAGGAGGACGGGGAGGAGGGGGAGGAGGAGGAGGAGGAGGAGGAGGAGGAGGAGGAGGAGATACGCACAATCTTGACGCCATGCCATGATATTGTTCAATGATCGCTGTGCTCATCATGCTACAAAAGCGCGCAATAGTGGGCCATGCGACGTGCACGACTGTCAAGAGGCATCTGGCGTGGTAATCTTTCCCGTCGGAAGTGTGTGCATCTTGTCAAGCTCAACGCACCGGGGCCGCAGACGTGGCCTCGCCAAGGGCCGTCCTGCCCCTGCAGCCACCGAAGCGTAGGGTAGCCACAGGGAGCTGGGGTGGGGTCAGTCTGGCCGAGCCTGCCTGGCAAACTGCAGGATGTGTGCGCTACTCGCTAAGCTGGCAAACCTCTGGGTCCCTGGGTAGATCCCCCGAGAGGCCAAATATTGAGTAATGATCTGTTTGTCCGGCTGTGGGGGAAGAGGAGGAGGAGGAGGAGGAGGAGGAGGAGGAGGAGGAGGAGGAGGAGAAGGAGGAGGAGGAGGACGAGGAGGAGGAAAAGGAGGAGGAGGAGGGTCACAGGGCTCGGGGCGACAGGAGATTCGAGGAGAGCAGTAGTCGTCGATTGCAGGCGGGCAGAAGGGTTCACAGGCCTCGTCGAAGATGATGCCGCATTTGCTCCTGTAGTAGTAGGCGTGGTGCCCGTTGGAGAGGAGGTGTCGCCAACGAAAGGCAATCCACCAAGATCTGTGATTGAGTCGCAATCTGGAACTGGAACGTGTGGATTGGCAGCACACCGACCATTCATAGTATTCGTGTTCGTACTCACGCCATTTCCACTTTTGATCGCCTCCGTCATGTCGGGTATGTAATTCGAAGCTGCGAGCATCTGGATGTCATCAGTTACTCCAAGAAAGCACCCCAAGAAAGTCTGGATCTCCCGCTCCATGTACGTAGCTGGAGCCTCGCCGAACTTCCTCGTACATGGCAGGATCTGCTCCATCGACTTGGTTAGAATGACGCGGAGGCACGCATCTCTGATCGAAAGGGTGATCCTGCGCCGTTCTTTCTGATAAACTTTGTCCTGGC